ATAAATAATACATTACATTCACAAGACACTGAATTGTCTTAAGAATCTGTATGTCCGTGCTGATAACAATAGGGTAAGTAAATAAATGCATGAACAGGAGAGAGGAAAATGACCACAAATGTAAGAAGGAGTGATGAAGTTAGAAAAACAGTTTTGCCATTCTCAAAGTAAAAACCAATCAGACAGAAATCATAATAGCTGCTTGTTAAGATTTGGGAGATTTAGAGAAACGGCAAGTTAGAGACTAAAAGTACCTCCTGTCAAATTTCCTAGTAATTACAAAGCAAATGGTAACTCACAGGCAGAGAAATCAAACACTTTAACCAAATGATCAAAATTAAATGACTGATAAGGTGCAAACGGACATCCCTGTCTCCAGATGTGACTTATGGGAAGAACACACCATTATGTACACAGCAATCAGTCCAAAACGCATAGCCTGAACCTAACCATGAGAAGACAGGGAACCCAACTTGAGGGTTACTCTAGAAAACAATGTGCCTGTATTTTTCAAAAATGTCTATACCAAGAAACACAAGGATGGCTGAGAAATCTGCTCCAGATTAAAGGGAGACTACAGAGACTGACCAGTGAAATACAGTAACTTGTCCTAGACTGGACACTGTCCTGGAGGGAACAATGCACTAGAAGACGTTATTGGGACAACTGACATAGCTGGAATGTAGACTGCAGATTAGAGTATTACACGTCCTGAATTTGCTGACAGTACTGCGGTTACATAAGAGGATAGCCATGCTCTTAGGAAATACACAGTTAAGTACTAGAGAATGCATGTTGTCTACTCTCAAACAATTCAGAAAAAAGATATGTGCCTGTATATTTATATGTACAGGTGGTAAGTGAGGAGGGAAAGAATGATCACAAAATGGCAAAATGATGTTAAAAATGGGTAAAACTAGGTGGCATCTGTGGCTCAGTGTGTAGGGCGCCGACCCCATATACGGAGAGTGGCAGGTTCAAACTCAGCCCTGGCCAAATCGCAACAAAAAAAATACCGAGCATTGTGGTGGGTGCCCGTATTCCCAGCTACTTGGGAGGCTGAGGCAAGAGAATGGCCTAAGCCCAGGAGTTAGAGGTTGCTGTGAGCCACAATGCCACGGCACTCTACCAAGGGTGATAAAGTAAGACTCTGCCTCTTAAAAAAAGGAAAAAAAAAATGGGTAAAACTGGGTAAATGGCATGGGGAAGTGTACTGTACTTCTGAAACCTCAAAATAAAAAGTTAAAAAAGCAAAGCAAAAAGCAGTAGCCAAAACAATTTTGAGGACTATCAGTATTCCACTGGTTTTAATGAGCAGAAAAGTAATTCAGGGTGGTGCCCGTAGCTCAGTGGGTAGGATGCCGACCACACACACTGAGGCTGGCAGTTCAAACCCAGCTTGGGCCAGCTAAAACTACAATGAAAACTGCAACAAAAAAATAGTCAAGCATTGTGGCAGGCACCTGTAGTCCCAGCTACATGGGAAGCGGAGGCAAGAGAATCACTTAAGCCTAAGAGTTTGAGGTTGCTGTGAGCTGTGA